TGTACAACAATTGGCATGTACATTACATGTACTGTACTAGTAAGTGTTTCATACGTACACTGTACACTGCATACATGTACACTGGATACACGTACACTGGATACACGTACACTGGATACACTGTACACTGCATACATGTACACTGGATACACGTACACTGGATACACTGTACACTGCATACATGTACACTGGATACACGTACACTGGATACACTGTACACTGCATACATGTACACTGCATACATGTATAGTGCTGCCAACTGAAATCCGACCCCCTGAGCGGTGCGCTCACATCGTGACACTACGAAATAGAGGCCGCTAGAAAGTGAACGCACCGCCCAGGGGATCGTATTTCAGTTGCCAGCAGTGCTGTATATGTAACGTTGTCTATTGTCTAGATGTTGACTAGTCCCCGCTCTAAATGGCTAAACAAACTGTACGAAACTGATCTTCTTCGGTTAGACCAAGGTCAAAGGCATCTGCGGAAAAGATCGCCCGTACTGTGAGCTAGTGATGATAGGACTGCGGACTCGATATCGCTACGGTTCAATAGTGGCGATGGCACTTTCATGAGTGTTAAACACAATCACCCAACGTTTACACGATGGCCGCTTCTGATGCTCCATGTAACTATTCGCGTCCATTAGCAGCCGATCCCCCGATGCATTCAAGTAGATTAGCGAGCGTGGGATAGTCACAATACACAGTCATAAGCAGTATGTCGGGAATTCCCCACTTCATTAAAATCAAGTGCAGTTACTATAATTTTCGGCCATGTATGAATGACGCCTATCAAAGCACACGCACTCGTCAATACCAATACAGTGTAAATGGACCATTAGGTGCATCTTTGCACAGCTGCATTGCACCATATTATTTTGATCACCATCCGTTGACGATGTCCCAGTCTGTTTTGCATCTTCATGTGGACGACAGTGAAAGCTAGCTAGCGCTGATCGAACATCTGGTCCTCAGCTCCTGCGTCCGTGATTTCATTATCATTCTAATTTCTTACCATTAACGGGCTAGCATTAAATAGGCGGAGAGGTTACAGCGCTCGAGTAATGTTTGGAAAATGGGGGCATGCTGACCGGACAGGTAGATATCCATAGGACGTGTGTAAAGTGCTAGAAGAGAGTCCCTTTGGGAACTCAAGCAGAACAGGTGGATACTATCAGCTTTTTCCTGGGCTTTCCGAGATGGACCGTCCAAAATCGTTCATACTCGCCACTTGTTTGGTTCTCCTGTTCAATACTAGTATGGTTATAGCAAAGGCTACGATCTCACAAAGGGGTTCGTATCGCGATTGTGTGGGTGGCATGTTGACCTGGGCTGGCATTACTCATCACTCTGCTCAACTTTACTCCAAAAAACTGGCCATATCCGGACACACTCCAGAACATCTCAGAGCATCGACGCCACGCACCTTGGAACACATCGGAATTATAGATGCTGCAGACCAGAGGACGATTATGTCTTGCTATTCCTCATCAGTGAATGGAACACCTATTACCTCACAATGCCAGGCGTATCAGCCTTGTTTGCAGAACTGGCAATGTACTCTCTTCTCGAAAACCCCCAATCCTCACTTCGTATGTCTGCCCATGAACTATTGTGAGGATGTCACGTGTCTCTATGGTGGTGTGTGCAAGAACCTTCGTAGCAATTTCACTTGTGACTGCGCTGTTGGATATCGTGGACGACTGTGTGAAGAGAAATGGTTGACAGAGGAGTACATGGACTCACGTCTGCAGACGCTCCGTACCTCAGCTAACACGGCAGTGAAAAGTATGAAGATGAATATGATATTTGCTCTGACCGCTCTTCAATCCCTGGTAGAGGGGATCGCATCTACTGTCATCCCAGAAACGCGCTATGAGAATATCACAGGCAACGTATCTACAAGTTATTCCACTCTATCTCCAACAGATGTCGTCTCCACTCTTCCTATAAGAACTTCATGTACGAGTAGTACCGTCGGCACGGCTATGTCCTCTCCAACGACTGAAGTATTGACCAGGCTGCCATACCTGCCAGGTACTGACAGTGTTGTTTCGGGATCGACCACTCAAAATCCAGGGATTAGCCTCATTTTTTCAGGACTTGTAATTTGTGTTCATTGTTCATTTATTTCTCAACTTTTATAGTGACGTCATGAGTCATCGGAGGATGTACATGTACATGTACCCAGTGTTCTGACAGTGCTCAACACCATGGCGGAGGCAGAGCGTAATACAGAACAGAACAACAAGGGCAATCAAGGCTTGTTTGCTGCTACTTCTCTCGCAATCATGTTGCCTAATGATTGCGAGACCATGAAACTTGAAGTAGCAGCAAACAAGCCTTGATTGTCCTTGTTGTTCTGTTCTGTAGTTACGTCATCAGTCAAATAATGATGTACGATACTCATTTACACGTGTTATACAATCACCTCTGCTGCTTATCTAACTAGGTATATACATGTACATAATTGTTATGCTGCTGTGGTTTTTGGTTTTGCCTTTTTGTTTTGTTTTACTAAAGCTAGCAAGAGTCCTCAGACATCACCACACTACATACCACTTGTTAGAGCCGTAAATTGTTTTTTTCGAATTTTGAGTTGAAAGTTTGTGGAACACTTAGGAAAAAGTATTCATTGTGTTTATTTGTGCTCTGGATGACAGTCGTGAGTCAGTCAAGTGAGAATTCAAGTCGGCACGAATAGCGCAAGGTCCCACGTAGGGAGCAACACACAATTCCCCTGTGTTTATTTTGCCCGTAAGAGAGGCTGTATAATTTTACAATCACATGTACACATGTACGCATGTACATGTACATGTGTACATGTGACGAACAGCCTCTTTTACGGGCAAAAGCAACACAATGACGAGAAACCAGGGTATGATAGGAAGATATTATTTATAATAGTACACAGGTGTGGAAAATATGTCTCCGGAGTGGCGAGAGTTTTACGCTAAAACACAGCTGGTTTTAGATCCGGCTTTCATGGTATGCCGACCGAGACCCACGGATACACATGACAGCGGACCGGAGCAACCCGAAAGAGAGCCTGCAGCGCACATATGCAACATGGTGTGCATAGGGCATGCTGGAATCAGCCCTATCAAGCAAGCCACAGAGGCGCTTAAGGAACCTTTCACATTCTGGGGAGGCAACACCAGAAGTTGACAACACCAGCGAGCTGAATGTGCCAGGATCCACATTGAGGATTCGCTCTCCGTACCGCAGCTTCATCTGCCGCTCGTGCTGAAGCAGTAGGGCATCCAATGGTTGGGCCGAGTAGGACGTCGCATCAGGATGGAAGACGCGTACGTCAAAGAAAGTATCCTGTGCTCGGGTCCCAGAAGCCACGGGCACGGACATCAGCGTGGGCATCCTCGGCGGTGTTTGCCGATGCAGCAGTAAACACCTCTCCAGAGAGTGGGGCTAGCTGAGGCTCGATTGCTACTGCGTGGCAGACCTCCGTGAGTAGCTCCCCTACCATGTCACGGACTTCGTTATGGCGGATTGTATTGAAGCCACCCCGGGGGCAACACATGGCATGAGCAGTGGAGAACAGAACTCCTCAGGCACACTTCGTGGGGACATCGAGGAGAGGCCAGTCATACCGCAATGCAAGGCCGTCCCTGAACACCTGCTTCGAGAGGTGGAAACCATGTTCCTTGAGAGGAAGAGCAGTGAGCCAGGAAGAGGGGCCTTTGCGGGACAGCTCATCCATACGACAGACCAAGGGGCGGTCCGCAGCTTCTCGGAGAGCAGCGAAAGAGGCAGCAGTAGCTTTCTTGGAGGACTTGGCAGCAGATGCTCTCTCACGTCGGGCTAGCTGATCCACAAAGTCGCAGGAATGATGCTGCCACTCTCTATCGTGCTGGTGGATGATCTCGTCAACCTGGCTGCTCGTCATGTCTACACGTACATGTAAAACATACTACTACCTGGTATATTGCCGCCCGCCGTGCTCACACGGCCGTACGGGCAGAGGCGTCACTTCGCCGCTTTGTATGCCAGTGGCGGCAGTAGGCCATACACATGATTGTACATTTACATGAAGGTAGCGGGTTCTTGTCAAGCTTTTGTTTTCAATCTTACATTTCAATTGGGTGTTCTGTGTATTTCCGATTGTGCTTTGGTTCTTGGTTTGTGGTTTCATGCGATTATCGAATAACAAGGAAACGAATTACATGTATGGAGAGGAAGTAAAAAGAATGGGTGGTGGGAGGAGGATAAAAAAGGAGGAGAAGGATGACTCTGAGAGAAGGAGGAACAATTTCATTGGTAGGATGTTTTATCCCGCTTGGAGACCATTCAATGATACATTTACGTTATGGCGTATACAGTTGAAAAACAATAATAATTATCATACATGTACATGTTGCATGACACATTAAAACAATGTTGTTCACTAACATGTAGGCCAAGATGAGAGGTATTGGAGACCGAACGTCTGGGTTAGAGGTCATTGATCGCCACTACAGCTACAGCTAGTGATGATACGACTGCGGACTCCACACAGCTCAGTATACTAGTACTAGTGGTGATGGCACATTCCTGTAAGTGTCAAACACAATCATGTGACGTGCCAGTCGTTTCTGAGGCTAATCATTCCCTTCCATTAGCCGTCCCTGATCCGATGCAGTCTAGTACATGTAGATTAGTGAACGGGATTGGTGTTCAGAATATAAAATTAAATAAACGTATTGAAGCGTGGGATTGTCACAATACACGGTCATGAGCTGCATGTCGTGAACCCCACTTCACTACAATCGAGTCCAGCTAATATAATTTTCGGCCAGGTATGAAAGACGCCCACTAAACAAGTACATGTACACACTCTTCAATGCCAAAACGTAGTAATGGAACAATACATGTAGGTGCCTCTTTGCACAGCTGCAATGCACCATATGTTGCCCACCATCCGTTGACACTGTCCCAGTGCGAAACGTGCTTCTTATTTTTTCATCTTCATCATGTGTACGATAGTGAAAGCCAGGGCTGATCGAACATCAGGTCCTCAGCTCCTACGTCCGTGCTTTCATTATCATTCCTAGCCGTTGACGGGCTGGCATTATATAGTTGGAGAGTTTGCAGCTCTCGAATTATTTCGAAAATGGGGCACGCTGACCGGACAGGTAAAAATCCATAGAACGTGTGTAAAGTGCTAGAAGAGAGTCGCATTGGAAACTCAAGCAGAACAGGTGAATAATTTCAAGCTTTTTCCTGGGCTTTCCGAGATGGACCGTCCAAAATGGTTCATACTCGCCACTTGTTTGGTTATCCTATTTAACACTAGTATTGTTACAGCAAAAGCTACGACCTCACAAAAGCGGTCGTCTCGCGATTGTGTGACTGGCATGTTGACCAGGGCTGGCATTACTCATCACGTCGCTCGACTTTACACCAAGATACTGGCCTTATCCGGACACAGTCCAGAACTACTCCGAGCAGCTACGTCACACACCTTGGAAAACATCGGAATTATAGATGCAGCAGACCAAAGAAGGATTATGTCTTGTTTTTCATCGTCGATGAATGGATCATCTATTTCCGGACAATGCCAGGCGTATCAGCCTTGTGAGGAGAACTCGCGATGTACTCCATTCTCGAAAACCTCCAATCCTCATTTCCTATGTCTGCCCATCAACTATTGTGAGGAGGTCACGTGTCTCTATGGTGGTGTTTGCAAGAACACTGGTAGCAACTTCACTTGTGACTGCGCTGTTGGATATCGTGGACGACTGTGTGAAGAGAAATGGCTGACAAAGGAGTACACGGACTTGCGCCTGCAGAAACTCACCGCCTCAGTTCACACCGCAGTGGAAACTATGAAGATGAATATGATGTTGGCTCTTACCGCTCTTCAATCACTGGTTGAGGGGATCGCATCTACTGTTTCAAGAAAAGACATCAAACCTATATCGTCACCTGGAACTGACGAGAATAACAAATCAAATTTACATGTGTCCAAATCACCAGGAGCGGATGTCTCAGGCACCGTCATCCCAGAAACGCGCAATGAGAATATCACAGAAAACGTATCTAATTCTACTGGATCTCCAACGGATATCGTCTCCACTCGTCCAATGCGAACCACCAGTAATACTGGCGTCACGGCTACGGAAGCCTTTCCCCAAACCATTTACGTTCGATTCCCTGAGAAGCGCACCTGGGCTGAGGCGAGATCAGATTGTACACAGCGCGGCGGCATGTTAGCCGTTGCAGACCAAGGTAATGCCACCACAGACCCACTTTTCCTTTATTTGACGTCACACAAGTTCGACTTCGAGACCTGGCTAGGCGGCACGCAGGAGAATGATGACGTCATGTGGCGGTGGATCACGGGTGAAGCTATACAGGGCTATGCCTTCTTGCGTGCATCGGAGGAGGTTCATCCAGGCAATTGCGTGCTTCACTACCAAGGTTACATCGGAAACTATAACCGCTTTCGTGCCAACCAAATTCCGGCGCTTTGCAGCGAGAGGCTTCCTTATGTATGCCAGTTTACGGCCAATTCATCTGAGGCCAAAAACGATCCTAAATATCACCCTGCCATGTCTTCCCGACCGACTGAAGTACTGACCCCGCTGCCTACACCGACCTACACACTACACACGGAGGAGCTGTCATGGTTTGACGCCAAGTCAGCCTGTGAAGAGCAAGGCAGCAACTTGGCTGTAGTGCGGAATGGAGAGGAAAACGACGGGTTGCTCAGCTTCGTATCGTCCCGGAATCAATCAGGTGTTGTTCTCCTGTGGATTGGCCTCTCCCGAGATATAACTGCTGGCGCTAGAAGCTGGAAATGGGTGACAGGTGAATCGGCCCTGCAGGTGTTTAGAGACTATTTCTCCTGGCACACTAGAGGTCGGCTTCGTGACAATGAAGACTGCCTGAGACATAGGCAATCGCTTGGTGAGGACATACCGATTCGACGTCGCGTATCCTGGACACCTTGGGAGTGCGACGGAAGATTCGGCTTTGTGTGCCAAACCGCCAATATACCTTAGGGCAGGAAACTACAATCATGTATAATATTGATAACTGGCAAAATTTTATGCAAGGGCTTTGTATTGGTGCATCTTTTTTCAAAATATTGCGATAGATTTCTTAATTGACGGCGGCACTCTTGTGCA